AGCTCAATTAATTTTAGAGTAGCAAGCTTGGATTAGCCAATTCGATTATTAAGAGGTACCAGGCACTATTACATGTACTGTTGACTATTGAGTTGGCTAATCCAAGCTTAGCACTCTAAAATTATATATATATCCATCGTTTTCGATCGTCTCGTCCCTCTCACTCCTGACCTTAAACAAGTAAATTCCCTCTGACCCCTAATGCGATTTGATTGGTTTTCAGGAATAAACCATTCGATTCAGATATTCTGTGGGGATATCTGAGAACTATCGAGGAACTTAAACAGAGCATTGAGGTGCAGTACGAAAGTATTCCAACTGCTACCATTCTGAAGGTGGAAGAAAACTATCTTCACCGCATTTTGCTACGCAAGCAGCAGATTAGAAAACATGTGGAACATCTTTTATGATATGGATATAATTATTCCCGTAATATTTGTTCTTTCTTTCTTTCGGAATTCTATCCCCGAGGTAGTTAGCGAGATCGTTCAAAACAACCAGTTGGAAAAAAATCAAGAAGAGTTTTGCGTGGGCCTACATTAGGGTATATTGTTGTCCGTTATTAAGACAAGTTCAAAGTTTTATTATAATTATCTGTTAACCGAACCCGCTTCGAAAAATAGTGCGTGTATCTTAGACGAGTCAAGCGTTGACCCAGTGTTATAATCGCGTAAGCATTTTTCATTCGGAATTTCCCACATGGCGCACCGCTCCACAAGTGATTCTCTTTTGGTGATTCTCCACCAACACAGGTTGCATCGGATTCGGAACATATCCTCCTCCTGTGCCGGCCCGAGAATCACACTACCGATCGGGTTCATTTATCGATCGGTCGAGTGGTTCAGCCGCAACAAGGGACCTGGTGCTTACCCAGCTAACCCGAGCGAGAAACCACCTTTTTTTACAGCTGAGTCTCAGGCAGGCCCAGTGAACTTCGACTGTGTGCAGGAGTGCCATCGGCACTCGGATGGACTGAACGTAACAACAAGAGCACTACAAAACGTACAAGCCGGTAATCAGACAGTCTCGTGTTGGAGTGAGAGATTTTAAGCGCCGCAGATCGCGGAATATGATCCAATCAAATCGCATTAGGGGTCAGAGGGAATTTACTTGTTTAAGGTCAGGAGTGAGAGGGACGAGAGGATCGGAAACGATGGAGCAATCGCACCGTACATATATAACAGTCAACTTAGAAAGTTCATAGATCACTGTCGGAAACTATGAAGAAACGGCAGAATTGGTGTTGCAGTGACAGTGGGATCTGAACGGCAGACTAATTTGATTATGCTTTTAAAGACCTAAACCTTTTGCTTCGTTTCAATAGGGATACGTTACTTATCACAGCTCATTTCATGGACGAGCACCGAGTGGTGTCTTGAACAAATATAATTTGCTAATATGAAATAGATCACCGAAATTATACATGAATGAGAGAATTGCACAGTTAAAATTCATGATTTTTATAGTTGTTTTTCGGTTATTTCTTGTAGAAAGTGATGCACACAGAAATCTGCACTGTACGGTGAATTCACATAGCACTGCACTTAATTCGGCGTATGTAGTGTACATCCATCATACTACTATTTTTCCAGGTTTGACACTGCATACCTCAAGGCTTAGGTTGCGGATTATCATACGTGATCATTAGAACCCCGGGGTTATAAGGCTACCCCCTCCCCGCTTCATTAAACACAATGATGAGTAATGGAAAATGCATCTCTTTAGAAGCGATAGAAAATTTCAAATAACTCACGTGGAACAGTGAATGACTCCATATTGTCAGGACCGAATTGAACATTGCCGAATAGGTGACTTCCTCGTCCAACTTTCAACGTGCACACAAAATTTTGGTTGGTCATAACTTGATCGGGACAAGTGAAGTTGATGTCAGACTCGTTCAGTGGTGAAATAATTTGAAGAGCTAGACTCCCAGAGGAAACCTATGGAGATTAAATTACGGTAAACCGTCAACCATTATCGCAACTGACCGCTCTTCGAACCTGGTATTCATCCACCATCCTCAGTTCATACAGTCAACCATACACTCGGAAAGCACCAGATCTGAGTTTCAGTCTCATTAAAGCTCATCAGTCTGCAGTCACGTCCGGGATTCGAACTCGGGGACCATCGCATAAAACGCGTACAAGTTACCACTGTGCCAACCAGTTCACACCGGGATCAAATGAATTACAAATTCGAATTTATTCGGATATTGATCCCAAAGACAGTCGGTCAGTTGTTGAACGATGAGGAAGGTATTATACACTTTTCAACTCAGTCGGTTATGATGCAAACCTCATATCTCATACAACTACTCACTAGTTATTATGAGGTGAAGAGGAAATATTATCTATGGACGCACAAACATACAACTAAACAAGGTCTTCGAGTCAAGTGGTCTGAGCCGACCTAACAGGCTTACTTTGGGCCCAGTGGTCCGTGGCTTGAATCCCACTACTACCACCCAACTTTGATTAGGAGCAGCTCCTCAGGTGTCCAGCTCCAGTCCACATCTTTCCGGGTGGAGTGTTACGTAGTTGGCTAATTCAACTCCCGGAATTCGAATTGCCAAATATATCGAAAGGATACTAGGTTTCCTGATTATGTGGCGTATTCCTTCAGCTGCTTGGTCACATATAAGTGTGCAATAAAAAATATTAAAAAACGCTTGTTTGAGGAATTCATCGGAGAAATTCATTGCCCATCAGAACGAACACCCACCGATTCAGTGCCCTCCATCACGGATATATGAATGCGCGTCGGACCGGCCCGTAAGTAGTTTATTGAGATTAATGCTGTTGAGTCTGCCAGCTGTTCGATCACATAGTTTGAATCACCAAACGAGATTTGATATTTCTCCAAACTTCCAGCGACAGATGCGTTCGCTATACTGACAGTGATTTTGTCTCCTGTGTACCAGACCGTGTCAGCAACGTTTATCTGATTGTGATTGAAGGGAACAGTAAACTGGTGGAATTATGATCGATTTACGGCGAGTGGATGAACAACAGTACGAACATTATCATTCCCATCATCAAACTCAAAATTATCAACATTATAAGGCAAATCTGAGAAACAGTAATTATTTTCCATTTCCCTTGTAGGTCCCATTGATCAGTTCGCTCGTGACCGTTACTGTGTCAGCTAAATTCACCGATTCCTTGCTCGTTGTGAGACACTGAAGATAACAACTCAGTTATAGGTGGTGCGTTTGCACGCGT